CCAGCTGTACTCCAACTGTACTCCAGCTGTACTCCAACTGTACTCCACTGTACTCCACCCGTACTCCAGCTGTACTCCAGCTGTACTCCAATTTTTTTTTGGAGTAGAGTGAGTCTCGCTTTTTCCCCCTTGATCAAAGTTCATCATTATTGATATAGTTCGATATTTGTCCAGTTGACAGTGACAATAATATTTAGTTCAAAGGAGGTTGTGAATGTGACAAAATAGAGAAGAACTACTGATATGCCCACACCTACATCCTTAAGTTTATCGAGAAGTCTCAATCATATCTTTTGAGATTAACATTCTGATGACTTTGAAAGATAGGATCTAGCAGATAGATGAATTCTAATTTATCGTCAACGTATTTTTCAATCCTAGAAGGTTGCATCTATTACAAAAGTAATCGTTAGTTTTTTTATATTCATTCTCTTCATGAATTGACGTTAAATTTACTGTTTGAAGAATCATATGTAAGAGACTCAACGATAGCAATAGTGCAAATACATGACTATGCACAATTATTCTTTACATATGATATACATGCACCCGCCGCATGATAAAACGTTATTGAAGCAAAGGTATGAAAGGTGCTTATGTAGAAATGTAAAAAAATAATTTATTTGAATTATATTATTACTTCCATTTCTCTTCTCTTTCCACTGATCATATGTCATCATAATTCTGCCTTTTTGTTCACATAAAAAACATGATATTTCAGTAATTACTTGAATGTCATGTTGAATTGTTAAGCCTCACATTTAACAGTGTGTGAACAAAAATAAAAACAATGTGTTTCTTTTCGATACATTACTCATCAATCGCATGAAATCAGCTTGTAATAGTAAAATATCAAAGAGAAACTTTTACGTCGTCTTGTAATGAAGAAACCTAGATTAAATTTAGAGGCTTAGTTGGATGTATTTACATATACAAAAAATACGATTTAAAATATTTTCGTATCTCTAGTATTTTATTTGTAAAATTATGATTGTTTTAAGAAAGCTTTCTTTCTATGTTATTATTGAAAGGTAACAATCATGTTTCTATGTACACCATTTATGATCATTTAATAGCAGCAATCATCAGTATGAAAAAATAACAAAGAAATGGAGTATTTCTATGGGTCTATATTTTTTATTGCCGTTCAAGTAAGATTAAACAGTAGAAACTAAAATATAAGAAAAAAGTAACACTTGATAATTAAGGTAAACTCAAAAGGTTTATATTAAGATATTTTAAATAAATGAAGCCCTATATAAGTAAGACCCTAGGATCTTTAAAAAAAAAAGCCATTTTTTTTGAAGATAAAAAAAAAGCCATTTTTTTGAAGAAAAAAAAGATGAAATTTGGTGCAAAGCTTGGGTGAATCGCTATGACGTCCTAAAATACTGTCGTCTAAAGGTATATGCGAACAAAAGCCTCAATTTCTCGACGACATATAGGACATAAGCGGAGCGAATGACCGCAAGGAACGCAAGTGGTTAGGTGACCACACGGAATGCAAGCGAGACGCTTTTCTTCCGTCAAGCATAAAACACAACGATCAGATAATGATGAACCATCTGTTTGACTTTGCGAAGCCGGATCTACAGCAGAAGATTTTTGATTTTTCGTTTGTTGATCAACAATTGTTAATTCCGGTTTGTTTACTTCATTTCTAATAGATTCCGATGATGTTGACATTTCAACATCAGTGTCAACTGTGGTATTCACTGAAGTCGATGAACTGGCACCTTGTTCACAAGCACGGATTGCTAAAGTAGGATTAAAATCAATAATCTTTTATTGGCTAGTTTTGTTACAGCTACCTGCTTGTTCTGCTTCGCGAATCTTGTTCATCGCTACACTGGGTACAATAATGTTTTCTTTTTTACCATCAATACGTTCGATTTGTTTTTGAAGAATTATACACGCTACTAGAACATCACAATCATCGGTGAAATCATCATCTAAGGTACCAATAAATACAAGAAGTTTTTTTCCTATTTGATTTGATAGAAGAATTTTTATTTACGTTTTATTCGAAGTTGATCTTCATAACAACGTTTGATAATGGATAGTTTGACCATTCGGTTGAGTAAACATTGTGCAATAAATAAATCAAGTCGAGCAGCAACAAATCTTGACAATGTACTCTCATCTGAGATGTTCAGTGAGCCTCTACCCATGTTATTGCTAGTTATTCCGAGTTGTTTACTCGGTTCCTTGATCTTGGCTCGTTCTAAGTATAAAAAGTGCACAAACAATTGTCGTCATTTGCTAGAATAAAGTAACAACAAACCCTGTTGAATTCTTTTCGATTCTTGGATCTTTCGATGCAACTCTGGACCACATAACTGTTTAGCATATGCACAATGTGGAAACCAACGGGCATGTTCAATCGTTGGATTATCGTTTGCTCCCCAGTTTTGCAGTGACCCATTACAATAAAAGCATGTCACAATAGTTTTAGTGCCTGTGTAAAAGAAGCCAGCTCTTACAAGATCATCAACAGATGGCAAATTTTCTTTGGGCCATGTATCAAAAGACGCATGACGTCTAGGAATTTCAATATAATTTGTATGACATGCTGCGGTGTACACAATTTCATTACACCGAAATGCATCAGTGTTGTTCGACGTCAATGAATGACTATTATTTGAAAATTCATTGATAATAAGAATGGAACCTGTTGGCTGCCGTTTTAACATTGCTATGACATATGGACATTTTGGTGATAGTGTTTTGTGTACTTCACATGGATCGTCCGTGTGTGGAGTCCATTGCTGAAAAATACAATTGCAATACAAACAAATGACCCGATCACCAACATTGCAACCAAAAAATCCAGCTTCAATCATTTGTGCAGATGAAGGTGATGTTCGATGTGGCCAATGTGAAAATGTTCGTTTGCGTATTTGCTTTAGAGTATCGATTTCGACAAGTCGACACGGCTCAGAAATCTGTTGTGTTGCTTCTATTTTTTGACGTTTAGACGGTTTTTCATCATCTGTTGATGCTGAAGTCGTTGAAAGTAGATTCATCGTTGATGATACAGACATAATTTGATCGGGAAGAATAGAACGAACAAAATCACATGTTGGACTTCGTTGTGCATGAATAGTGAATGGTTTCATATCCAATGTCCATCCAGATACTTCTAGTCCACATACATCACACCTGACTGTATCCCCATTGTTGATATAGTAAAATCCAGCTGAAAGCATCGTTATTGTAGAATGTACTCCTGATTTTTTCGACAAAGCTCGACATGAATCGAGAACTTTACGAAGGATATCTCTCTTTTGAGGGGGTAGATACTGTTCTGGATGAAATCCGATCTTCTGTGATGATACATCAGAAGATATCGGTTTCATTTTGGATGGAACAGTGATCTTGGATTGTCTTACATTGTTTAATCCTGACGGTTGACGATTTAAGGTTTTATTCTGCTTAGTATCCAATGTGATTCTATAAGAGAGAAACAAAACTATTTATTATGGTATTGTTGATAACGAATACTGTTTAATCTGTTTATCATTTTAGCTGTGAGTCTTCTCTTACGTTCTTCCCATATATTTATTCAATTATATTAGGTTGGTACATCATTTTGAAAATCTCTCTAACTTCTCCAGCACATTTTCTAAATCTTGATCTTGAGAGAAAAGTCATTCATGTCACTTAAAATCGATCTTTCTAAATATCTGACTAGAAAGTTCTTTGTTCGATTCAAATAGGGCACTTTTCACTGATTGTTTTATTTTTACAACACATCTGAAAAAAATACATTTGACCTTTCCGATTGAGCAGTGTCTCAACTATACAATGAGAAAATGATAAAGAATATGAGCGCTTCAAATATAGATATAGACGATGAAATGTCCACGCCAATAAACAATATATGCGAAAGCTAATAAGGGTGATGCAAGCGAAAGGAAAAATTCAGGTGACAAGCAGAAATACAAAAGGGAAAGTCCCATATATGATGACGTAGAGAACAGAGAGGAAAAAACCCATTGCAGAAAAAGATAAAGTGGGATAAACATTACAGGATGGAACTTAGCTATAATATTTCTTCAAGAATAATGCTTAATTTTTGAAAATTTACCAAAAAACAAAAACATAAAGTTCAAAGTATCACGAAAAAATATTTTTTTTAGGTAAGGTATAAGCCGACATATATATGTATATACATAAAGAATACTGGCTTCCGTCTTAAGTTGCCTAGTAGTTAAATCAGCGCATATATAAATTTAAAATGAATTTTACTCGACAGACTAATGTTGACATTAAAAAGTTCAGAGAGATTAAATAATAAGGTTAAATTTTCATAAAGAAAATAGACATCTTCAATATATACAATAAAAAGCATAAAAGTCATTTTGCTGCACAAGAAAAATGTATGGCACAATTATGACAATATTGACATCATTTTCAATTGCTTTCATAAATGATTCCAAATCAGCATCACTATATTTCTTAGGGTCTTTTTTTACAAATTTGTGTCATATTTATTAAGATTTCTCCAATACGCAGAACAAGCATTTAGATATACATATATATATGTATATATTATACGAAAATCGATCTACACTCGGCGAGTGAAACATGCAGAACAAAAGAATAACCTTCATTATTCATTTTCTCTCTATGTTGGTGACAAAACTGATGTGAAATATAGAGAAAAGACAAGAAATTGAATGATACTCAGTGAATCATAGACATGTTTGCATATATTACGAACAAATCAAAGCAATAAAGAAAAATTTATGCATCTATCACTCATCATAAATTGTAGACAAACTATTGTGACAATAGAAGCCTGGGAATGTTTTTTAAACATCAACTAGGTACTTCACTATTTTAGCATGCCAATCGTAATAAATTTTGAATCTAGTTTGACAGTCACTATGAACATAAAAGTATAACATTGAATTTACAATGTATTTTAGTCACACTCACATTTTCTTTACATATAAAGATAAAGTAGAGCAAGACCAATAACTTTTGTTAAAAACATATCAAGACTTGATAAATTACTGGAGAAGTTAGAAAGATTTTTGAACTTATTTTCGCAGAATTTGCTGAAGTGATCCGAATTCAGATCACTTTGATAAGGCGTTTAGTAGTTTTGTGAAAAAAAGGAATTACTCAAAATATAAATTACTTCAAAAGGTCTTTACATAGTTCAATAGAGAACACTTGAGACTATCTGCGGTTAAAACAAAATCTTTTTTTTTCGAGACAAAATGACCGAAAAAACGATTCACTGATGTCCTTTCTGATAATATCATTTATTCCAACTCACTATAGCTGATTCACTTACAAAGAGCATTTGTTCATCACACCATTTGATTCAAGATAACATATGTGAACCCGTTTTTCTCCGATTTTTTTTCATGTAACATTACTTGGAAAAAACCCAGTAACAAAAACAACCTATTTACATCGACAAGAGCAGTGTAAGGAAGAAGAAAAAAAATGTTTTGTTGTTGTTGTTGTTTTTTTTTTTGAGTTGGAAATAATTAACCTTCGAAATATTAATAAGATTGTCTGTCCATGTGAAGGCATAGATGAAATAGAACTGATAGACAAAAGAAAAGTCATTGAAAATCGAATGAATTTAAGTAAAAAATGTGCTATATATTAGATGACTAATATAAATCAACCCGACTCTCCTTCTTAAACAATGTATGATTCATCCTATGAATGAAATACGACACTAAAATCACAGAATCATCGAAGATATTTTCTTCGTTAAGGATACTATTTCCATTGATATTCATTTTTATCTCATCCTATATAGTCTAGAAGTACAAAACATCCATTGAATCAGCAAAGATAATTGTACAAAAGAATAAGAATGGAATCGAAGGAAAAAATTCAGTGAATTATAATATATCTCAACACGATTGTGTAAAGTAATAACATGCGCTGAAACTTTTTCTCATCATATTCATGAAAAAAAGATATACAATAAAATTATATCACACTTAACAATCTTGAATTCTGCTTTTTTTGTCTCGATTAAAAAAAACTCATTACGAAGAAAATTGCCACAGAAACTATACATCAATGTATGTTTTTTTTTTGCTTTCTGTCTCACTGTAAATGGAGAAAAATAAATACAGGTGATTATTTTTCTCTTTCATGCACTTATCTATTACAAATAGTCTGATGTTAAGTGTCTTAATGTAGTTTTATAAGAAACTTGGCTCATGAAATCGAAGGTGTAGTAGAAAAATGAAGAACACTTTTTATTTTTGTTTCTAAATGCGCTTTACATATTGTTACCAGCCGAATAAACACTTAGTATATAGATATCGACGATATTGTTTTTACCGATTTCAATTTCGCTGAATTGATTCATAGTTGAAAAGACAAGCCTGAATAAAATATGATCGATTCTATAGATAATATATTTTTTTTATAACTAATTAGTTCATTATCAAATCTGGTCATAAATATTCCTGTTAAAAGATCCTAGAGCATGAGTCCATGAAAAATCATTCTTATCTACAAATACTGACCTTATTCGTTTGTTCGCACATTCGGTGAAATATTTACAATTGACTGGTGGTAGTGCTTACGACTTTTAAGTAGTTTCTTGGTAGCTATTACAGGGATTTATTTTTTTACGAATGTCCTTACAAAATGTGTCTAAACAAAATGTCCTGCTAGTTAAAAATGTAATAGAATTAGAATTGATGATAACAGATGATGTGGACTTTATTATATATTCTGCATTCTTTTCCCCTAGAGCCCGTATTTCTTATTATGATCCTATTAAAAATTGAGAAACTAAATTCTGATGAAAACAAAATATGTTTCATTAAAATTCAACAATAAGCTTAAAAAAATGTCAATACGATAAGTGCTAAATGTCAAATTCATGTAAGTCTATTATGTTAGTTATTGATGGTTACACTTTCCAGTTAAAATTCAAATAAAAGTGTCAAATTAATTTAGGCTTTATGAGCAGTATCAAGTTCCCACAATATCTAAGGATACGGTTCACACCAACCGATCGATTAAGTCAAGTGTCAATATTTTATCATTTTATTGTATTGAGTAAATATTCTGTTTGTTCTTTTTCATAATGTACACAGTAAAACTTATTCGAAATAAATTCGTGATTTCATACTAGATTATTTACAAATTTAGTCTATATATTTCTTGGAATCATAAGAACCTGTAAAACCTTATAAAGAGAGGTCACTAACAACAAATTCATAATGTTTTTGATGCAAAGGGACTGCTTATGTTCCTGTTTACATAACAGTTTAATGATGCTTCGGAAAATATTCAAATTTTTATTTCACAAGAAACAAGTTCTACTAATTGAAGATTAGGATCTGAATGTATTCTAAGTTACTAATCAAACAAAATATATCACTCGAATTTTATCGACGTGCAAAACCTAGAAAATAAAATAATTTTAAAGTCTTTTCAAAAATAAATTTTAGAAATTTTTTGTATCGTTTCTATGAAAGATCCTATCAACCAGTGGCGTAGTCAACTGTCAACAAAACAATATCAATAATTTTATAATACGATGCAATGCGATTCGATTAGCATTGAGTTATATTTACTATAAGAAACGAAAGTATTTCAACTGTAACTGTTTTACCTAAGCAGATAATTTAAACCAACGGTCATGCAAAAAAAATTCTGATGTTCTCTTCTTTATTGAAGATAAGAGTGCATTAGATGATTTATCGATATTTCAAATGTCTTATGTGTTTGCGTTTGAATACGTTATTCTTTTCGCGTACGTTCATGGAAAGGTCACTAGAAAAAATATCACAAATTATTGACAAAATTCTTGAAAAATGTAGCTACTATTTTTTCAACCAAGACTTTGTTCATTATATAGATCCTAATGAGCTTTAAATACCCTGAAAAGAGTTCGAACATTTAGCTTATAGCGACAAAGATATGGTGTTATTACAGTATTTTTAAATGAATGCCATAATCCAGAAAAACGGATTCTCAAATTTTGACTTGGAACTTTGCGTAGAGACAGACCTTAACGAAAATAATTTTTATGTCAATGCTTTAGATTTTGTTGCTGCTTCTAATTTAAAATACAACTATTATAATAGCTTGGTTACATCCCTTTTACAGACTGATAGATTTTATGTTTTTATTTCAAGATAGAAGCAAATTAAAAGACTTGAAACTTTCACAATAATTTATATTAGTTAAGATCTTTCTCTGTGAAAATTTTCAAGTTGAAATTTAAAAATCAGTTTTTCCTAAGGAGATCATAGGACTCATATAAAAAATGTAGTACAGTTACAATATTTCAGCAGTAATAAGCTAACAGCATGAACTCTTCTGTTACCTCGTAAGAAAGCGATTGCTACTGATTGACATAACCAAAATGGTACGTTTCATGGATTGATATTTTCAAGTGCGTCTTAAAAAGGATATTATTGTATCAAATTAATCTGCGAAAATATTTATACGACAGTCTCTTTTATAGAACTAAGTAACCATTCTATTTTTCAATTGCATGATGTGTTCCATAACATATTTTGAATAAATACCAAATATTTCTATTGAAAGAAAAAAAAGGCTAAACAAGACTTGCTCATTGACCAGCACAAACTTCATTTCGTTCTTCAAGTTACTTTTTTCTAAAATTTTCAAAAAGACGTACTTGTACAATTAAACAAATGTATAAAAGTAATTTCTATTATACTCACATCTATTCGTTGAATTCTTTCTGGTTGTGTGAATTGTTTTCGACAATTATAAACAAGTATTCACAATGTTTCATTCAATTTAGAATGTTATTAATATAAAAACTATTTTATGTTAGAAAAAAACCTCATTAGTTACCATAATTGAATGTATGATCAATTTATCAACAATAGCTGTCAATTATAATCGATGTGTTCAATATTGATAAGCTGATCTATATAACACATTATGTATGAAAAATGATCAATATTTGATTAGTGCTACAAAATATATCTCGTTAAAATTCATACAAATTACATAGAGTGTTTTCTTTTGATTTTACTAACCAGCAGTTAATTAAGTCAATTCATGCTTGTCTAATTCTCTTGATTAAAGTAATTAGTTTTTTTGCAAATCTTACTTTAATAAAACCGAATGAGATGGATGGGATTATCAATGCATTTATAATAAATACATTTCTACTAGAAACATAGAACCTCTTTTGCACATTATTCATATTATGATTTTCAACTATCACAAATAAATGAATATATATTTGATTTTCATCAAAATTTTCAATTTTCATACAAAAAACTCTTCGATGAATATCCATTGTCAACATACAATAACACGAGTAACTTGGAATAAAAGCATAAAACAAAATAAAGACAGGTACTAGTATAATTCACTAGTTTGCCATCGACATTAATAGGCTAGAGCAAAAATGTATGGAATTCAGTCAAATCTGAGAATTCGATTTGGTGTATTCCTTGAGTAGAGTGAACACTTTTTAGATTTATTATAGAAATAAATAGGTGCGGAAATGTTAAATAATAATAAAAAGTGCAAGATTATATAAAATAAACTTAGAAAAATATCAAATATTGTCGAAAAAGAAATGCTTTTCACATATGAGTGACTTCTCAATAAACGACAGCAAAAAGGTAGTCGCCAATAACGATCTAACATTAACTTGATAAAAAAAAAACAATTGGTCATTAAGTGTGAAATTTAATGAAGCCAACGATTCTTTTTCGACATATTAGACATGATCGCAATAAATGACCACATGCGAGGCATGTGGCTATGTGACCACACGGTATGTAACATAATTCCTTTTTCTCTGTGAGGCACAAAACACAAGGATCGAATCGAGCTGCTTTAATTGATTGATATTGATTTTGATTATTGACAGTAGCTGTTTGTTCAGTTGTTTTCGTAACACTCACATTACCAATGCTTTTTGATTTCGATGTGAATTCATTTGTTGAAAATTGAGATGATGTAGTCATCCTAACATTTGCAGAACTTAACACTGGTCCAATTAGATTAAATACAGTTGCTGTTTGTTCGCGCATACGTGCTGCTGAAAAATAACAGAGTAGGAATTGAGAATATATCTATAAGAAACTTACCATTTTGTTCTCTAATTTCCTTCACTTTTATACTTGGTATAACAACTTTTTCTTTTTTAATGCTAATATGTTCAATTTGTTTTTGAAGAATTAAGCAAGCAATATATAAATCACATTCAGACACGAAATCATCGTCTAAGAAAAATATTCAAAAAATACGAAAGACACTATTTTATTGACTAACTCACTTTTTAATAGTAATTGATCTGCCCAACATCGTTTTATAATAGATAATTTAAAATATTGATTCAATAAGTGTTGTGAGATGGGTAAGTCTAATCGACCATTAACAAGTTGGTCATAGGTACTTTGATCGCGTATCAATAATTGTCGACTGCTTATAGTTCGATTAGTATTTAACATAGCATTGGAACTCATTCCTCTATTTAATTCATTGGTTCTAGCACATTCTAGAATAAAAAAAATCAAGTTATATCGAGAAACTAATCAATCATACCTTGTTGCGCTTGTTGAGATTCTTGAATTGCAAGATGTAATTCGTCACCACATGATTGTTTAGCATATGTACAATGCGGAAAGCAGCGAGCATGTTCAATCAACGGGTCATCATTTGGACGCAAACTTTGTAGGGATCCATTACAATGAAAACAAGTAACAATGTCTTCTTTACCCGTATAAAAAAATCCTGCGCGCACTAAACCATCTACTAGTTGTAAACCTTCATTTGGCCATGTAATAAAAGATTTCTGACGCTTAGAGTTTTCAATATAATTTGTATGGCATGCGGTAGTACATGCAATTTCATGCCATCGTAATCGATGAGTGCTATTCGAAATCAATGAATGACCATTGTTTGAAAATTCATTGATACTTCGAGTGGATGCTGTTTGCTGACGTTTTAACATTGCAATGACATATGGACATTTTGGTGATAGTGTTTTATGTACTTCAAATGGGTCATCTTTGTGTGTCCATTGTTGACAAATAATATTGCAATACAAACAAATGACCCGATCTTCAAAATTACAACCGAAAAATCCAGCTTCAATCATTTGTGCAGATGAAGGTGATGTTCGATGTGGCCAATGTGAAAATGTTCGTTTGCGTATTTGCTTTAGAGTATCGATTTCGACAAGTTGACACGGCTCAGAAATCTGTTGTGCTGCTTCTAGTTTCTGACGTTTAGATGGATTTTCATCGTCTTTTGATGCTGAAGTCGTCGAAAGTAGATTCATCGTTGATGATACAGACATAATTTGATCGGGAAGAATAGAACGAACAAAATCACAGGTTGGACTTCGTTGTGCATGAATAGTAAATGGTCTCATATCCAATGTCCATCCAGATACTTCTAGTCCACATGCATCACACCTGACTGTACCCCCATTGTTGATATAGTAAAATCCAGCTGAACGCATCGCTGTAATAGAATGTACTCCTGATTTTTTCGACAAAGCTCGACATAAATCGATGCCTTTACGAAGGCTATCTCTCTTTTGAGGGGGTAGATACTGTTCTAGGTGAAATTCGATCTTCTGTGATAATACATCAGAAGATATCGGTTTCATTTTGGATGCAATTGCGATCTTAAGTTGTTCAACCTTGTTTGATGCCGACGATTGAATATTGAAGGATTTATGCTGAATAGTAGTGAGTTTGGTTCTAGAAAAGAGAAATAATGCTATTTATTATGCTATTGTTCATAGCTAATACTTTGTTATCGATTTATAATGTTAGTTATGAGTCTCCTCTTATCTTCTTTTTATATGTTTGCGAAATTATATCTACTATTATGATACTCATTTTTCTGTTCGTTGTCATATTAAGTCTACGGAATTATAAGAGTATAAATGATAATAAAAATCGAATTAGAGTCAAGTCTAAGAGTATCTAGTCTACAGTCACCATACATAATGAACAGGAATAATTTGAATCACTTTGTCAAATTCTACTAAAGATAACTTTGGTAGCCATATAGTGACAAAGGTGACCATCACCTGACGTTAACTGCAAAACCTTTGTTTTGCTAAGTTTTTCTTCATAATCGATGATCTATAATAGTTCTTGAAAAACAATATTTAATTTCTGAACAGTTATCTAAGAGCAACACCACAAAACTGAAGATACCACGAAAGAATATCTATCAAGACAAGATACAATGGGGCATATACAAATAATTTTAGGGTACTCATTTCAGTTTTAACACATTGAGTGGTTAAATGTGCGCCCATTTAAATTTATGATGAATTTTACACGAAAGACTAATATTTTCCACAGATAGTTCAGATAAAAAAAGTAATCAAGCTAAATTTCCCTAAGAGCAATTAAATATCTTGAACATTAAAAAAAATAGAAAAATTATTTTGCTGCATAAGCAAAAAGTATGCCGCCATTAAGACATGAGCATTTATATGTGTAAGTACAGTTGTCAAAGCTAGATGAAAATGTTTTTCTATCTGACGAATACTGACATAATTTTTACTTGCTTCCATAACTGATTCAAAATCAGTATCACTACAATTTGTCAGCTTTCGTATCTCTTTACTTTTCATGTATTGAAATTCTACATACAAGTGAACAGTCAATAGATGTTACTAGTATCACTGGCAGGCCAGAAACACCTGCGATTCGATAGAGTTCTGTGGCAAGCCAATTGAGTTTAAGAGAACGAAGGAAATTTGTTTCGTTCCGTTGAATTTGCTTGGCTAGCCACACCAGTCCAGCAAGTCACAAGTGTTGCTGACCCACCAATGTTAGTATTCGATACACAGTAAGCATATGTGCATGTGTATAGATCGTGTCGAATTTATTCTATGTTAACTAAAATATTCAAAATGATTTTATTAACCAAGATATTATGAAAATATAATTTAAAGATGCTATACTGTAACTTAGAGACATCTATTATCCGTTTCAAAATAGAATGTCCGTCGCTGTTTTTTGAATAACTCAAGTCAGGAACGAGCTAGAGACCTACGTTTTTCACCAATGAAAAGAGGAGGTCAAGGGATATCATTCTCTTCGATCATGTATAAGAGAGATTCCTTTCAAAAACTAATTATTTTCGAAAAACATGTAAAAGAAAGCATGAAAATGACCTGCCATTTAGATAAAAGTTTGATTTTAACCTTTGATTTAGATAGAGGAACTTCAGATCTATAGATCCAGATACAATGCAAATGGTTTTCTTATTGCATTCTAACATTGAGAAAATCGAATCATATATTTACATGAGCAAATAATAGGAATTTTTTGCTAATTTTTCACTAGACCTTCTCACTTTTTATCATTATAGCTCGACATTGCGATGGAAATTAGATGAAAATAAAGGAAGCGCATTGTGTCTCGAACTACAGATCTGAAGTTGCTCTATCTAAATCAAAAGTCAAAATCAAACTTTTATGTAGATGGCAGGTCATTTTCATGCCTCCTTTTACATGTTTTTCGAAAATAATTAGTTTTAAAAGGAATTTCTCTTACATATGATCGAAGAGAACGATGTCCCTTGATCTCCTGTTTTCATTGGTGAAAAACGCAGGTCTCTAGCTCGTTCCTGACTTGATTTATTAAAAATACAGCGACGGACATTCTATTTTGAAACAGATAATAGTTTGACAGTCGCCACGGACACAGAAGTGTAGCAACGACTTTACAAGATATTTTGTCACACTAATTTTTTTGACATATAAAGTTAAAGTAAAGCTCAATCGACAGCTTTTTTTTTATCAAAATCAAGACTTGAAGATTCAGTGGAGAAGTCAAAGAGGTTTTCAAAAATAATTTTATCAGAATTAACAGAAGCGATCCGAATTCGAATCACTTTGATAGGGCTTTCAGCAATTTTGTACAAAAAGCTCAAAATATAAATTGTTTTGAAAAATTCTTACATTATTCGATAGAGAACAGGTAAGGCAATCTGCAACTAAATAATCTTTTTTTTTCTAGCACAAAATGACTGAAAAAATAATCGAAATACACTGATGTTTTTGTCAAGTCATCTGAGTCATACCAATTCCCTATGGCTGATTCACTTACAAAGAGCATTTTTTCATCACACCATTTCATTCAACGTAGCATATGTGAAGCAGTTTTTCTCTGGTTTCTTTTTCATGTAACATTACTTGGAAAAAACCCATCAACCAAAAAAACAGCATTCACGTCACGAGACTAGATATAGAAGAACGAAAAAACATTTTGGTTGTTATTTTGGTTAGCAACAATTGATTCTCGTAAATATTGACAAGATGTTTTTTTACTTTTTGGCAAACATCGTTTATTTTTGGGAATGTACAGACGAAGTGCAATTTATAGACGTAAGAAAAGTCATTGAAAATTGAATGAATCTAAGTAAAAAGTCAGTCGTATGTTACGTAGTTATTATACGCCAATTCGACTCGCTCTTAAACATTGTATGATTCATCCTATGAATGAAATACGTAATTAAAATCATAAAAAACATCAAAGATATTTTCTTTATTAATTGTATTATTTCCATTCACATATCTTCTTATCTCTCCCATATAGTCTAAAACTCAACGATAACTTATGACTGTATCTAAATTAGTACAAAATATCCATTGGATCACCAAAGATAATTGTACAAAAGAATAAGAATGGAATCGAAGGCAAAAAATTCAATGAATTATAATATAACTCAACATGAATGTATATATAATATGTACTGAAAAATTTTTTCGTCAAATTCATTAGAAAAAAATACACAGTAAAACTGTATCACAGTAAACAATCTTGAATTCACTTTTTTGTCTCGAATTTCAAATAAACATCATCAAGGTAGCATTGTCATAGAAATTATCCGTTGATGTATTTGTTTTTGCTATCTGTCTGACTCTGAATGGAGAAAAAAAATGTGTAATTATTTTTTTTTTCATACACTTATTTATTACAAATACTTTGATGTTGAGTGCCTCAATATAGTTTTCTAAGAGTTGCGTCATGAAATTGAAGGTGTGATAGAAAAATGAAGCAGATTGTCTTTTATTATTTTGAGAAGCTTTTGTATATCCTTAACACTTAAATGGATACTTATTCTGTGCATATCAGTAATTTGCATTTTCACTGATTTCGATATTGTCGGGTGAATTTATAACCGAAAATGAAATGGAATAAAATGTAATCGGTTCTATAAGTTACATTTTATTATAATGAATTAGTTCGTTATCAAGTCGATTAAATCTGTTACCTCATCGAGAATGTAGTCTAACTCACTTAAATAAAATGATTA